CAGCGAACTTCTTTGTATGGAGTCCGGTCAAACCCTGGTAGCAGCTATGTTTGTTTTTATTATTATAGAACGCTTAGGCGCGTAATCATTTCATATTTGGAATCCACATTTTCTAATATAATAGGATCATAATACCCTGTAAATACCGCAAAATTACGGCACGCTGTAACTTATGGCGTTACGGTGACAGATATACAATAATACATAACATTGTATGGTGATATAGCCTTTTCGTGTCATATTGTTAATGGCAGTTGTTCGATGTGTTGTTATCGCGAATTCCTTTGAAGTGGATAAAGACAATAAAAGCAAGGCTACTAATAATTGCAATACAACGGTCATGTTTGGTGCAATGCTAGCGCTAGGGATACCGTACTTTCACACTTTATTTACTGCTATAGAAAGCATAGGCAGCACGTATACTATCTATATACAATCCCAATATACATTGTGTAACCCAGCGTTAATAGCTTTTGTGTCGGGGATCACTATCGAAACAGGCGATACACAACCACAATAAAATGTCCTTGTTATAAATCCATCTTGCCGGATTATGTTAGTCTGAGTCAATCAATGCATGGTTGTACAGAGCCACACTGTTAATTCCATCGCTGTCTTTTTCTCATGACACAAATTGGACATTGATATGCATGTGGCTACTAGACACTCTCCTTTCTTCAGTATGCTCGCTAGTTTATCTGTGTGTTTTTACCCTTAAAGCTATACTGCTCAGAATTGAGTATGACATCTGCACCTGTATTTGATTTCGTGTTCCTCAAGTACCGTCTCAATGCAAAAATATTCGCAAAAGTTTACCGGATTGGCTTTTCAACCCAAATACCTGATTGTTGAAATTAATTTTTTTACGCATCAAATTTTCAAATTCCTGTCAAAGAAATTGATACCTGTAATTCTGAGTTTTTTTCATTGAAAAATTATGAAATGCAGATTAATTGTTATAAGGCAGGTGTTGTTGATAACATCTGTTACAGACAATCTACAAAAAACCTACGAAAATTCCTTGTTTATTTGGTAGTATCAACCATTTACATAATAATGTTAAAAATAAACGCCACTACCTGGTTGATAGCATGAGTACATTTCATGTTCTTACCGAAACAATTGCAGATAATTATATTTATTGATATATTTATTCATTGAATCTCTCATTTATTATCTAGCCATTCATATAACAGTAATAATTGCAGTACAGCAAATGCTGACAATGTAATTGAAGATTTATTAATTTAGCATATTTCGATTTATGTGTTATTACAACATAAGGTATTTCGAAGCCACAAAGGGGTGAAGAATTCAACAATTAATATAGCATTTCCTTTCCTTCTTATTCACCATTGTCACCACCTGTTTTGCCACTATCATCACCACCACCTGTTTTGCCACTACCATCGCCACCATCTGTCGGGAACAGACATGATGTCTACGTTACGATTACGTAACAACCCGGATACCAAGTTTAATAGCTAGATCAAATACAAAGCTAAACTGTCGCCTGACATCTGGATCATGTTTGACTTTAATTACTACATCCTGTGTACTGTATATTTAATAGCTTAGTGTCTTTCTGAATAAACCAGTTGTGTGTTAACCATCATACTGTAAGCATCATCTTGTACCAACTATCCCTATACTCGCCCACATTTGGTGCCGAGACCAGGATTGTCGTCGAAAACAGAAAACGTTGCAGAGACCGATCAAGTTTATAACAAATTACCATGTCCGACGAAGAACCCGAACAGACCGTGAGAAGGGATGTAGTACAAGAAACCACCATGAAAAGACGCGGTCATCGATGTCAGATGACTAAACAACTCAAGAAAGCTGAGCAGATCCTCGCCAAAGAAAACCCAAGTCAGTCCGACCTTGTTCTGCTAGATACAACGGTGGTCAACATCGAACAACGAATGCAGACCATAGAAAGCCTGGATGATATAATCCTTGCAAATACAACTGGTGAAGGTGCGTACAGCAAGCTATTCGAAGAGATCGATGACTACCATATTTTCAACAATGAGAGTGTTGCAACTATCAAGCACTATCTTAGAACTAAATCTCCTGTAACATCTATACCTACTTTACCGGATACCTTAACCAACGGCTCGTCATCGTCACTATACCAGTCAAGTCGGAAAGTCAACCTACCAAAACTGGAATTGCCGAAATTCGATTGACACTTTCAATGCAGCAGTAGATCAAGATAGTTCCTTAGAAGATATACAGAAATATCAATACCTAATGGCACAAGTAGAAG